GGGTTAGAATAGCCATCATTAGCAACACCACCACCAACAGGTGTTGGCGAGGATCGGGGAAAAAGGAACCCTCTTACACTGTTGTGGGAATGTAAACTAGTACAACCACTCTGGAAAAAAATTTGGAGGCTTAAAAAGCTAACATGATCTACCATTTGATCCAGCAATACCACTCTTGGGATATACCCAAAAGACTGTGACACAGTTACTCCAGAGGCACCTGCACACCCATGTTTATTGCAGCACTATTCACAATAGCCAAGTTATGGAAACAGCCAAGATGCCCCACCACTGACGAATGGATTAAGAAAATGTGGTAATCTATACACAATGGAATTTTATGCAGCCATGAAGAAGAACGAAATGTTATCATTCGCTGGTAAATGGATGGAATTGGAGAACATCATTCTGAGTGAGGTTAGCCTGGCCCAAAAGACCAAAAATCGTATGTTTCTCCCTCATATGTGGACATTAGATCAAGGGCAAACACAACAAGGGATTGGACTTTGAGCACATGAAAAGCGAGGCACACAAGGGAGGGGTGAGGATAGGTAAGACACCTAAAAAACTAGCTAGCATTTGTTGCCCTTAACGCAGAGAAACTAAAGCAGATACCTTAAAGCAACTGAGGCCAACAGGAAAAGGGGACCGGGAACTAGAGAAAAGGTTAGATCAAAAAGAATTAACCTAGAAGGTAACACACATGCACAGGAAATCAATGTGAGTCAACGCCCTGTATAGCTATCCTTATCTCTACCAGCAAAAACCCTTGTTCCTTCCTATTATTGCTTATACTCTCTCTTCAACAAAATTAGAGATAAGGGCAAAATAGTTTCTGCTGGTACGAGGGGTGGGAGGGGGGGAGAGGGGAAAGGGAGTGGGTGGTAAGGGAGGGGGTGGGGGCAGAGGGGAGAAATGACCCAAGCATTGTATGCACATATGAATAATAAAACAATAAAAATTTAAAAATAAATAAATAAATAAAAAGAGCAAACCAGAAAGCTCTATAAAAGACAAAAGATGAAAAAATAAATGAATAAATAAGTAGGGATATAGTTTGATGGTAGCGTGCCTGCCTTAGCAGGCAAGAGGCCCTGGGTTCAACCACCAGCACAGCAAGGAGGAGAAAAAAAAATAAAACTTTGTAGTTGGCTCTTTAAACCACAGAAAATGCCAAAGATAATTACACCCTCACCCTAATTCAACAAAGCAAAAAGTCAACAGAAATGCAATTCAAAGTGAAGGACATACATTCAGACAAGAAGGAAAAGCTCAAAACATAGCACATACTACAGCTCTCAAAAAAAAAAAAAAGAACATATTCAGTGCCCTTACCTGTTTCTGAAATATATGTAACAGGATCCTGCCGTAAAATTTTACCAGGTTTAGAAGACAATGGCAATTTTTCTGAATGCTTTTTGGCATTTTTTACCTGCACTGTCTCCTCTGATTCTGAGTCTGTATGTTAGAGGAAAATAAAACAAAATTTTAAAAAGTATTATAAGATTGTGTGTGTGTTATACTTTTGTTTTAAGAATTCACATCATATAAAAATAAAAATTAATCTGGGTGTGATGGTGGTCATTTTTACTGCAAAATACTCAGGAAAGTGAGGCAGAAGGATCACTTGATTCCAGAGGTTCAAGGTCCATTGGGTAATACAGAAAGACCCAATCTCAAAATAAATAAATAGGTTTAGGGATGTAACTCAATGGGAGAACATTTGCCTAGCATGCAAAGGTCCTGGGTTCAACCCCCAAAACTTTAAAAAATAAAGAAAGAAAAAATTCACACCAGATGGCTTTTCTCCACAAAAGCAAACACTAAAACTTCCTGAATTCTGTCATCACTGTGCCATCATTTTGTGCACTCTAAAAAGCATGCATAGAGACTAGGGTAGAACACTTGCCTATCATGCAGGAGGTCCCAGTTCAATCCCTAGCATTATAAATAAATAAATATATACATAAATAATAAATAGCATGTACAAAAACTCATGTTCCCTATCTTAAAACTATATTCAAAGGAAAGCCTTTAAACTGTGTTCATTCCTTTTTAAATACAACCAAAATGACCAAATCATTTAATCACACACAAAAAAACACATTTTAGATCTTTGCTTTAAAAGTAATATTTTAAGGAACTTTTTCAAATTCAATATCCAATAACATTAACTGGAAGAAAATATAACTTTTTTTTTTTTTTTTAAATATGGGCTAGAGATGTAGTTGAGTGGTAGAGAGCTTGCCTAGCTTGTGCCAGGCTGCAAGTTTGATCCCCAGGACAGCAAAAATATGAAATAAACATACTATATTCAAAGTAAATTTGAGACATGCTACTAACTCTATCCCCATCTAAACAAACTGTAAATACATTAAAGTATCTAGGTTTGATAAGTTCTGCAGTTAAATACAATTGTTTTAAGCTTTCCTTGCATATCCAGCCCTCTTCTCACAGCACCTATTAATGTTGAAAAAAGCTGTGTGTCTCAGAACATCAGACTGGAAAACACTGTTCTAAGGGATATAAAACAACTTCAAAATTTTACCTGAGTCATAGATGATCCTCTTTTTCTTGCTTGATTGTTTCTGTTTGGAGGCATCCTCTTTACAAGAGCTATTTACCTATAAACATCATAGTATAATTAGAACAAAAAGAAGCCTATGCGTCTTTTTTTTCCTTATTAGACTTGGGCTTGTTTCTCAACCAGAGGCAATTTTGTCCTGATGGAGACATCTGTCAATGTCTAGAGATATTTCTGTTGATCACAACTGAGTGGGAGGGAGAGTTACTGATATCTGATAAGTAAACAAGAGATTGCATCAAACATCCTACAATGCATTGGCAGGACAGTCTTTCACAACAAAGTTATCTAGCCCCAAAATGTCAATAATGCTCTTATTAAACTAAATAGGCCAGACAAAAAATGCAACAGGAAGAGAAAGAAAAGAATTACAGAAAAAGCTAAATTATATTCAACTCCACTTTCAAGGCTAACCCACGTGCAACAAAGAATAAAGGATGTCAAATGTTGTAAGGTGCTATACTTTGGATTGGGAATGTTCCCTAGAAGCACATGTGTTAAATAAAAGCTTGATCCCCATGTGGCACTCTTGGGAGGTGGAGGGACCTTTAATAGATAATGCCTATGGGAGGTCTTTAAGTCACTGGTAATGTGCCCTAAAGGAGTCTGTGGGACTCCAACCCCTTGTTCTTTCACCTCTCAGCCATAAGGTGAACAGTTTTACTCTACTACATGATGTGCTATTTCAGCACAGTCCCACAACTATGAGCACAACCAATCATGGAATGGAACCTCCAAACCCATGAGCCAAAATAAACCTTCCTCTTTATAAATTTATCTAAGGTAATTTGTCAGGAATCATGAAAGTCGACTAACACACAAAGCAAGTGCTTCTAAAAATGAAAGACAGTTGGGCGCTAGGCTCACACCTGTAATCCTAGCCCCACAGAAGGCAGACATGAGGAGGGTTGTGGTTTGAAGCCAGTCATGCAAATAGTTTGCAAGACCCTGTCTGAAAAATACCCAACACAAAACAGGACTAGCAGAGTGGCACAATAGCAGAGCACCTGCCTAGCAAGCCTGAGCCCTGAGTTTCAAATCCTAGTACCACCAAAAAAAAAAAACTGATTGTAATCAATCAAAAGGTAAAAATATATGTTATTTCTGCCCATTCTAATAAAACTTCTAAAATATAAGAACAGACGTGGATGTAGCTCAAATCCCTGGAACCTCAAAGATTAGCTAGCTAGCTAGATATATACATACATCGATCAATCAGATAGCTTCCAAGAAAATGGTACAGATAAACCATTAAAACTTATATATGCAACTAGATCAAAGGACAGAGTTAGAGCTAACTGTAACTGAAAGTGAGGAAGGTGGAATTCCGAAGGGAAAGGGCTACATAAAGGGAGTCCCAAATTCTGCCTACAAACTTTATACAAATCTCTTTTTTTCTCCTGTACTAGCTAAGGTTAAACACAATGCAGTTAGCACACTGATACATGCCTATGATCCCAGCACTCAGGAGGCCAAGGCAGAAGGATCATGAGTTCAAGACCAATCTGGGCTAGAAAGCAAGACTCGGCCTCAAAAAGAAAAAGAACTGAGAAAAAGATTTCATCTGATGCCCATCACATGGGAGGCAACTTGAGTTCAGTCAAGTTAACTGTCAGATAAGCTACAAGACTCATACTCTTTGGAAGAAGAAAACAGAATCAACAGTTCCTACACTGTATCATTCATAATGTCCATGATAAATCCAAAATAACTAGACATACAAAAAAAAAAGAAGTGTAACCTGCTGTGGCTAGTTTTATGTGTCAACTTGACTGAACCACAAGGTACCCAGATATTTCGTCAAACATACCTCTAAGTATTTCTGTGAGGTGGTTCTGGACAAGCTTAATAAAGTAAAGCAGATAGATACTTCTTCAATCAGTTGAAGAGCTCAAGAGAACAAAAGGCTCACTCTACCCTGAAAGAAGGAATTTCTCTTGCCTGTCTGCCTTTCAGATAGAACATCAGTTTTTTCCTGCCTTTGAGCTAGAACTGGAACATCACCTCTTCCTGGGTCTCCAGTCTGCCAGGCTGCAGACTCTCAGGCATTCGGACTTGAACTGGAATCACACCATCTTGAGTCTCCCACTTGCCAACTGCAAATCTTGGAACTTATCAGTCTTCAGAATCCCATGAACCAATTCTATGTAATAATCTATTTATGTAGGTACACACACACATATCCTATTGGTTCTTGTTCTCTGGAGACCCCTGCTAATACAGATTTATTAAGTTCTCAGGTAGGAATGAGAATGAGGTTATTGGAAACTAGAAAGAACTGAGTTGTATTCTAGTATTTTGTGAAAGACAGAACTTATGAACAAGGAAATTATTTCTATTTTTTTCTTCCTCTGGTGGTACTGGAGTTTGAACTCAGGGATTCACGTTTATTAGGCAGGTGCTCTACTACTTTTGTCACTCCATCAGCCCTGGTTTTTGTTGGATTTTTTTGAGATAGGGCCTCTCAAACGATTTACCCCTACTGACCTCAAACCACTATCCATCCTCCTGATCTCTGTGTCCTGAGTAGCTAGAATTACAGGTGGGAATCACCAGCACCTGGCTGAAAATTCAGCTCTTCAGTGAGAAATGAAGAGCACCAGAACTGGCAAATATGTAGGTAAAGAGCTTTTCTCCCCCTAACTTCTATAAAGCACATCCATCTGTTAAAATCTAGATGACAATGACGTGAGGACTATTAACATGCAGATGTATTACATGTGACAACAAGGACATAAAGGGTGAAGCATGGTAAATGGATGTGGAGAGCTACATGAAGTGGACATTAATGCATATGCACCGCTGCAGCCATTGCCTGCAGCTGAACTTCTCTGAGGCCCAAAGTGGACAAGAAACAAAGCAGCTTTCCTACAAAGTCTCTGTAGTCAACATGAGCCTCATACGTTCACCTGAGGACAGAGCCCATGTCTAGGCCAGGTTGGGCTCAAACACTTATTCCTCCTGCCTCATCCTCTTTTGCTTGATGATTACCCACCTTGCACAGCAGCTGGCAAAGTGCACTCCTAAAATGCAGTTTTAACAACTGTAAAAGGTTCTATCTCTATATCAAAAACAAAGAAAGCTAGGCATAGTCACCTGTAATCCCAGCACTTTAAAGGCTAAAGAGGAGAATCATGAGTTTGAGGTCACCCTGGGCTATATAACTAGACCCTGTCTCAAAAAAAAAAAAAAAAAAAGGAAAACAAGCTATAAATGTAAAAAGCTACATTACTTAGAATAAGTAACAGCTTCATCATTTCTCTTCTTCCTCTGCTGAGCGGCAATGTACTCAGGATTTGCACCATACCAGATTTAGGAACTGAGTTTGACGCCTCATACAATGTAAAGTCTAATTAGAAACTGACCTTGATTTCCTTTATTCCTTTCTTTGCTTTTAAAGTTTCTTCAGCAGACTTGGCCTTCTCATTCTTCTTTACTGTTTCACTTACAATTTTTTCCACTCGGTATAACTCCGAAGAATTTCCGAATGTCCTAAAAGCAAAATATCAGACTTATAAATGAAAATTAACTACATAAATTCAGATTTCGATTATAAAATGGGACAGCTTTAGTCACACATTGGTTTACTTTGAGTAGTCTCTCCAGATAGTTTGTGTGTGCAGTAGCATTCTCTTATGTACAAAAGCAACCTGATAAAATTACCTGAGTTAAAAATAATTTGCCTGATGAAAAGAAACATTAATTCTCAGAATCAAACCAAAAGCAGGGCAGAAGCAAGAAGCTAAACTTTTGTTAGCCGTAGACAGCATAACTTGAAGAGGCAAGCAGTAGGTGTTAGCCATCACGCCCACATACGTATCCCATCAGCCCAGGCCCAGGTGGGGAGCATGACCCACATCCACAGAATGTGTACTGCAGTTGGAGAACTCACACCCATTCTTATCAACTGGGAACCCTAAAATGACGGTCCTTTGTACAAGTTCCTCAAATTCTAAACAAAAAAAGGGCTGGGAAGTGGTTCAAGTGGTAGCATGCCTGCCTAGCAAGTGCAAGGCCCTGAGTTCAAACCCCAGTAATGGGAAAAAAAAAAAATCTAAAGAAAAAAAATGGTACTTATTACATTATCCTCCTTAATAACTCTGTACTGTAGAATTCAAATTAATTATATTGAACTTTACAATATAATTTATAACTAAAATCACTCACTTTAGCTGGGTAGCACTGGCACTCGCCTATAATCCTAGCTACTTGGGAGGCTGAGAAGACGAAGATCACAGTTTGAGGCCAACCCAAGCGAATAGTTCGGGTGATCCCATCTCCAAAATAATCAGAGCAAAATGGACTGGAGTTGTTGATTCAAGTCATAGAGGGCTTGCTTTGCAAGCATGAAGTCCTCATCCTTCATATATATTCTCATCCTTTACATATATATTCTTCCCTAGCCTTTTTTTTTTTTTGCAGTCCTGTGGCTTGAACACAGGGCCTTCACCTTGAGCCACTCCACCAGCCCTGTTTTTGTAAAGGGTTCTCGAGATAAGGTCTTGCAGAACTATTCACCCGGGCTGGCTTCAAACCTCAATCCTCCTGATCTCTGCTTCCTGAGTAGCTAGGATTACAGGCATTTCCATTGAGATGGGGTCTTGCAAACTTTTTTGCTTGGTCTCAGCCTACCATGTAGCTTGGGATGACAGGCTCATACCACCTTGCCCAGCTATTGTTTGAGGTGTGGTCTTGTGAACTACTTGCCCAGACTGGCCTCAAACTGTGATCCTCCCCACCTCAGCCTCCCCAGTAGCTAGGACTAGGACTACATGTGGGAGCCACTGGCACCTGGCTCGCATTTCTTTTTTCCTTTATTTATTTATTTTTTTTTGGTGGGTTAGGGTTTGAACTCAGGTGCTATTCCACTTGATCATGCCTCTAGTACATTTTGTTCTGGTATTTTGGAGATGTGGGTGTATGGGTGTGCCAGCAGCCCCCAGCTTTCCCTAGCTTTTTTATAATTTAGTTTTGAAGAGGTATGGTATGAAGGAAAAGGAATAGACCTTAGAATCAGAAAGCCTTGGTTTGAATCCATTCTCTAGTGCTTTCTACCTATGTGACCTTGGGCAAATTAATTTATCTGAGTTTGTTTTCTCATAAATTAAGTGAGACTAACACCCTTCATGAGGATTAGTTATGCACCCACCACAATTTTGGCTCAGTAAAAAAGCTGCTCTGCTTCATGTTGAACAACTGTCCTTTCACCTCACTGAAACATCTTCATTTATAAACTGCTGGCAAGAGTAGAAGAAACACAAAATAATGAGGAGAACTTAGGATCTTTTTTTTTTTTTTTTTTTTTTTTTGGTGGCACTGGGGTTTGAACTCAGGGTCTGATGCTTACTAGGCAGGCCCTCTACCACTTGAGCCAGTCTGCCAGCCCCAGGATCTTAATTTTTGAACTGGGTTCAAGAGCCATCTTTTCCATTTTCCCTTTTCTTAACTTTGATGTTTGTAATCCTGAATTGTCAATAATTTTTTACTTCTCCAACCCATCTCTCTTTACTGTTTGAAAGAAACTGCTACAAAAGTACTTTGTAAAGCACGAAAAATTGGCACTTTTCTAGATCCTAGCAGTAATCATTCTTTTTTGCTTTTAATCGTTTTTACATTTATTTACATGTGTATACATTATTTGGGCCACCCTCCCCCGTAACTGTCATTCTAATCCCAACAAGTGTACTACACACACAAACAGCTTTGTATAAGCCAGTAAGATTAACAAGGCTCAAAGGCATGTTAAATTTAAAGAGAGCTGGGCACGTTGGCACATAGACCTCAAGTTCAAGGCTACCCTTGAAGTTAGCAAGACCTTATCCTGAATAGGGAGAAAGGGAGGGGGAGAAAAGAGAGACAGACAGACAGACAGAGAGACTAAAGACTTCCCTGGAGGCTGGGGGTGTAGTTCAGTGGTACACTTCCCTTGAGTTTATCCCCACCACCACCAAAAAAAAAAAAAAAAAAAAAAAAATTGACTTCCTTGGTTTTATACCCTGTTTTGTAAATCTCCTAATATAGAAAAGTTGAAAATTAATTAGGTCTAAGTCTAAAAACTAATACTTACAGAACAGATACATCAGCTATAAAACTGAGACATCTGTGTCAGGTGTTAAGGAACAGAACAATAAAGGAAGCCACCATCTTCCTTATAATTCACACATAATTGAGTTTGAGGCTGACAGCTACTTTATTGCTTTTGAAGGAAATGAGAGTTTCACATCAGTTTCACTTTTTTGAAGTTACACAGTGACTCTTCACTCAAACAGTGGTGATTATGTAAACACACATACATAGAGAAAAGAGAAAGAGAAACAGGGAAAGATAGAGACAGTACAGGTACACCATGGAGATATCAAAACTGTAATGAGAGTAAATTAGTGGTTTCAACCTGGTTTTGGACTGCAAATGCTTAAAACTGCAAAGAGAAAGAAAACAAAACACAATTCAGAGAATGAAACTATCAGTAATATTGAGCAAGGGCTCAGATTTGTCTGTACAAAAATCTGTACTTCCACTCAACACCATCAATGCCCTTTCCTTTCTAAATCTTTTGTGCTTTTGGTTTTTTGAGACAGGATTTTGATATGTAGCAGAGGCTGGCTGGCCTCTAACTCATGATCCTCCTGCCTCAGCCTCCCAAGAGCTAGGTTTATAGGCATGTGCCTCCATGCCTGACTTCCAAGTAATTCTTTCCACTCACATTCCCTTTCCTTTCCTTTCTCTTTATTCTACACCCACATTCCCTACCTGATGCAGAACAGGAGTCAAAAAAAAAAAAAATTACTACATCCTGATCCAACTCAATATATACTAAAAGTCTGAACTTTTAGAAAAGAATTTTCTGCAGAATGTAAACTACTTGACTCACATCTTTTTAGGAAGGACTATCACCAGTGTGAGCAGTTCTCAAATATAAATACCTAAGAGGCAAAGGTCAACAGGAAGCTAATTAATTTATAGGGTCTAACTTCATCTTACCCTTCCAATTAACATTTCCTGTCTAGTACCCCAGGCATTCAAAGATTTCATGCAATGCAGAAGAGCAAGCCTAGTAGCTATACCAGCAAATAATGGATCCAAACACCTTTTTAGCTGCCTGAATCATTTTTACTGAATTAGTAGAAAAAGGAACAAACTGTTAAATTTACTTTTATAATCTTGGCCATAGGGAAGACTTCTAAGCATAACATCAAGGCTACAAACTATCCATAGACAAAGACAGATTTGACTACAGGAAAAAAAGGCATCCATAAACAAAGTTTGATACAGGCAACTTACTTAAAAACATCTCCAACATATATAATAAAAAAAAATGGGTTCCTACAAATCAATAAAAGGTGACCCAATAGAAAAATGAGTAAAAGCTACTAAGAGCAAACTATAAAAGAAATGTAAAAGTGGGTGCTGGTAGCTCATGCCTGTAATCCTAGCTACTTGGGAGCCTGAGATGGGGAGGATCACAGTCTGAGACCCATCTGGGCAAACAGTCTGCAAAACCCCCACACACCCACACCTCCAAAATAAACAGAACAAAATGTACTGGAGGCATGATTCAAGTGGTATAGCACTTGAGTTCAAACCCTAATCCCACCAAAAAAAAAAAAAAAAGTGGGGGGGGGGAGGAAAGAAATGCAAGCCAGGTGCCAGTGGCTCCAACCTGTAATCCAAGCTATTTGGGAGGCTGAGATGGAGAGGATCACAATTTGAGGCCAGTCTGGGCAAGTAGCTCACAAGACCTCACCTCAAACAACAGCTGGGCAAGGTGGTACGAGCCTGTCATCCCAAGCTACATGGTAGGCTGAGACCAAGCAAAAAAGTTTGCAAGACCCCATCTCAATAGAAAAAGACTAGACATGATATCACATGCCTGCCATCCCAGTGTAAACTAGGAGGATCAGGATCTAGACCAGCCTGATCAAAAATTGAGACCCTATCTCCAAAATAACCAGAGCCATGGCTCAAGCTGTACAGAGCCCACCTAGCCGAGTTCAAACTTCAGTACTGGAAAAAAGAAAAAAGGCAAATAATCAACAAAATGTATATATACCTTTTCCCCAGTAATTTTATCTCTAAAAGAAATGGTAGAAGAAAAAAAGGCATTCTGGGGGAATGGGAAGCCAAAACAGAGTAACTAACTCTCCTTACTTTCTTTTTCAATGATTATTAATTAAACAAACAGGTCAGTTCAATCAAGGCAAAAGATTCAGGCAAAAATCACATAAAAGTTAAAACAAAAAATAAAAATCTTTAAAAAGTTAAAACAAATTTTAACAGAGAGAACTAAAACTAAG